TCCATGCTTAACCTTGCTCATCTAAATAGTCCAGTGGAGCTGAGGGACGTGTTCTGCAGCATCTTGGCTTGGTGACGATATGGACTTCTTTTGTTTTTAATGGATTAGCACAGAACCTTTTAAAAATTAGGATTCCTTCAGGTTCTATCTTTCTAGTTAAAAACACTGACACTGGAGTCCTCAGATCATTTTGATTCAGTCAAAGTTCACATTTGTCCTGTGTATTTTCAATTTTGACCATGACCTGAAGAAATTAGCTGTCCCCTGATTCTGTCCAAGTCATCTGGAAGGTGATGAGCTGTTGTCCTCCTGTTGACAGAGTGCCTTGCTTTGATTCCACTCCACTGAATTTTTACTCCATTACTTCGAACATAACATATTCACCAAGGAGATGGATCAAACTGCACGGCTTTGGCTTTATATTTGACTATGCATCAAAGCTGGAATAGGTTTTGAGCAGGTTAAGACGGGAATCTTGAGAAATGGATCACCAATGTGAGATTTTTAAACCAAGCTGACATTAAGCCATAAAAGAACAGTTCTTTTATTATGTGCTCCTTGATTTCAAGAGAAAAATTTAGAAGTTGCTCATATGGCAGCTAGCTTTGGTCCGTTCATGGGAAAAACATTTTGTGTCATCTCTAATAATCTTAAGTCATTCTGTATCCCTCCTGACATGAAATATCACAGATTGTTTTGTTAAAAAGATATTTACACTGGTAAGAGCCCACCTATTCTAAGCTGTTAAAAATACATTTCCCTTTGCAGAATTGATAGCAGAGTGATTCTGCTTTGTTCTACAAAGCAGCAGTAGACGTGCTTTTTTTCCATTAAATTTCTTAAGCCGGAACGTGGTCTCTTGCATGTCATAGAAGCGCTTGTGGGGTACTGTATTTCCTATAACAAATCATTATGCATAACAGCTTCTTCAGCACTCTTGGTTATTTGGGGTCGTATTCGGACCAGAATCAGAGATTGTGATACTAAACCTGAAGCTTCAGTTCCGTTCCCACAGAACCTAATCACGTTGCATAAAGCCAACCTTGCTTTGCTTTTTTCTTTCACGATTTTGAATGACAGACTTCGCTAATGGGCTTCTGTAAGGCCTGCTCCTCTGTGCTGAGGAGAGACAATTATCTCAGCCATCCTCAGTGTACCATCACCTCAGCTCATTTAGGTGCGCTCAAAAAGACAAATAATAATCATTCTTGCAGAAAGCTCTCGCAGGTTGATTTTCATGACATGACGCTTAATGATCAAACCAAACTGTGATTATTTATGTCAACTCGCATTTGACTACAGCAAAGAAATAAACACTTTTATCTTCTCTGCCTTGAAAATCCTGTTTTCTGTTGGAGGTGTTTTAGCAAAGTGGATTTGGTTTGTATTGTTGTCCAGTTGGTGTTACACTGAAGTTGACTCCCTGCGAATGGGTGTTTTTAAAGCAAAGTTTGCTCAAAGATGTTCACTTCTGCTTTTAAAGTATTTTTTTGAAAGTCCAAACATGATGGGTTTCTTTTTCTTTTTTTTAAACTTTTTTACATTCCTTTTTCAAACTCCATTTCCAGCTTCATTTCCTTGATGGCTACTGCCAATACGCCGTGTAGGATGGCACAGCCAGTGGAGGGGCTGGGACAGCTCAAGAGGTACTTGGCTGGGTTTTATTTACTATGGTATCGTTACCTTTACTACTATTTACTATTATTTTACCTTTACTTTGAGAGGTAAAATAGATCATGAAGTTTGTAATGGAAAAGATTCTCAAGAACTGTGTTCTTTTTGTGACCAAATACTATAAATAATCTGTCTTTTCCTCAGTCCTATAGGTTGGAAAAATAGTAGCAATTTCGACTATTGTTTCTTTCCAGGAGCATTTTGCAATCCTAGAGACAATAAATAATTTCTTGGCCAGTTTGGTTGTGAATTATTTTCTGTGTCCTGGAGATATTTTGCTCAGAAGGGCAAGCCAACAAATTGTGATCAGGCAGTGATAGATCTCCTCCTCAGTGGTGCACATTCTTCTTGCCTTTGTCAGGGGCATCTCGGAGCTCCGGTTGGTGCTTTCTCTGACCCTCCTTAGTAGTTTATCCAGGTTCTCGCTTCCAGTCAGTTTGTTGCGTGAGAGGTGTTGGAGAATGAAATGTACTTCTTTACTTTTGTGGCACATAGGTTTTAGCATCTCTTTCCACTGTGGTGTCTGCTGGAGCACCTTCCACCGGTTCTTTAGTATGTCCTTCCTCCATCAGGTGTGGTCTGTGTGGTGGTGGTGGGCCAGCCATCATTTGCCATCATTCATCATTTGGGGCCGATAGGGATGCTGGGGAGGAACTTTTCATTAGGGACTGTAGTGATAGGACAAGGGGTAACAGGTTAAAACTTAGACAGGGGAAGTTTAGATTGGATATAAGGAGGAAATTCTTTCCTGTAAGGGTGGTGAGGCACTGGAATGGGTTGCCCAGGGAGGTTGTGAATGCTCCATCCCTGGCAGTGTTCAAGGCCAGGTTGGACGAGGCCTTGGGTGAGATGGTTTAGTGTGAGGTGTCCCTGCCCATGGCAGGGGGGTTGGAACTGGATGATCTTAAGGTCCTTTCCAACCCTAACTATTCTATGATTCTATGATCACAACAAAGACATGAGTCTCTGGGTTTAACCTGCTAACCCAGTCTTTCATGGTGGTCATCCTTGTACAGATCCTTTTCTGAGATAAAGTAATGCAGTGCTCCAGTTTCTCCAGCTGAGGCTTGGCCCCAAATTTCGATGGAAGCAGAACACAGTTGCATTCATTATTTCTTTTGGATTTATCTCTGGTTTTAAAAGGCGTGTCCTCCTTAGGAGTGTATAAAAATTACATGGTGTACCTTTGACTAACTTGTGAGCTGTCTGGAGAATCTCCCTCCTATCCCTTCCAAAACAACCTGTGCCATGCAGTTGCTTCCTGGTGTGTAATCCAGCCTTGCTTGTTAGATATAAACACTTCTTTAGATGTTGTCATGCTTGTAGGCTTTCCTTACAGTACCAAAAATGAAAAACACCATGCTCAGCCTGTGTCAGAGCAGGATCTTGTTAAAACCCAGAAGCATTTGCTAGTGGCATTGGGAAAGCTGTAGGTTTGTTTAGATCTCTGGAGCTTTTACAAGGGAGCTGACAGAAACTTTATAATGAGCCCCCAAGCCCTTTTGTCCCCTTGCATAATTCGAAGATTGCACAAAACAGATTGAAAGAAGTTTCCATAGACCAGCTGAAATTTATTTAAATGTAATCAGAACATTTGAGTCTGTCCTAGCACCATCCCTGTGCTCGGGCAGCCATCAGTGTGAATAGATCCTGTCGCGATTGGGGCAGGGTCTGGCTAATGAGTGGTTCCCCAGCTTGGATGGGAATTGGTGAAGAATGCTAGTGCTGGAGCAGGGTGGTGACACAGCCCTTGTTACTGAGCTGCTTCTCAGTTATGACATCTTGATTATCAACCATATGGATCATCGTTATGAATGTCTGAAGCTACCAAACGAGCGAGAGGTCTGTTACTGGTGCGCTGGGCTGGAGTGTACCTCTACATGTGGAGTGTGATGCTGAATGTCACCTCAGGCCAGCAGATGCTGGGCAGCTGGTGCTGGAAGCAGGAATTGCTGTCTCCAGCTGATACCACATCTTCAGTGACCAGGGGCTCAGAATTACTCATGTGTAGAGTTGCCAGGAAGAGGGTTTTTCCTGTTGTTTCCCATTGAAATGCACTGCTTTCTCTCGCCTTTTCCTTTATAGGTTGTAAGTGAAGGGATTTTTCTTCTCTCTTTTGATTTGATGTAGTTACTGAATTTGAACAGTTTCTTCCTTAAATACAAAGCACCTTACTTCGCAGGTGAACTGCCTGCACATAGGCATTTGGTTTACATGTGCATGTGGTGAGTTAGCATGGAGTAGGCAGTGGGCTTGGAGCATGCATCTTGGCTTTCCATGCCCCATTTTCTGTCAGGTAAGGGTTAGAGAAGGAGCACAAAGGGAGGGAAGGATGGGCTGGTGGAAGCAGAGCAGGTTAATAACATATAAATCCTGGAACCTGGGGCTTTGCAGGTTGAAATACCTATAAAACAACTCATGAAAAGATCTCAAAGGTGGCGGTTTGCAGTTGCAAACTAGCTTATGTGCTTTGTTTGGGGAGTCTTGTGCATAAATGCTGACAATTAGTTTCTAAAGACATGAATTCCGGGAGCTCTGGGAGTTCCTCATCCTTGTTGTGCGGCCTGGGGCCCGCTAACGCAGTGGATGAATGCATTGTTGTGAAGCACTCAGAAATAGACCCTCCACCAAGAGTGTGAGAGGGCTGGCTGGGAGTAGCTGTGGCTACTGAGCTGATGTTTAGCCAAGTAACATCAGAGGATCTTTGCTGTAATGCCATAGTGTATCCAAAGCCAGACCAAATCTGTAGCCAAGAAATTTGACAGACTAATTCCGTGAGCAGTTGAAGCAGTTTGCCTCAAATGAAACCTCACAGTGGCCAGCACATCCCAGACTAGCTCTGAATTGCTTCAGAGTAATAAAAGGTACTAACTTGGCAATATCATGGTGTGAATGGGAACTGGAATGCGAATGCTGTCCTTCACCTACCTGCCCCTTCCTAGTGTGTATCAAGTTTGTGATACTGTCCATGACTCATACGTTTCAGAGGAAAGCATCCAGATGTAACTAGAGAAATTTAATTATGGATTCTGTGTGTTGGTTCAAAAATATTTCTTTTTCTCTTAAGGGAAAAAAGATGTTGAGCAAATACCACTATATTTAGAACAGAACTAACTTACTAAAATTATAGCTGTACCAACAGATAAATAAACATAAACTAGTAGCATGAACCATTAATGAAAGATAAATCGCATGAAGGGAAATGACAAATGTTTACAGTTTTGGCAGGATTTAAACCAGGGCATGTCTCCTTATATACAGCAACTGTTTTAACAGCTGTTTTTTTTTTCTTTCCCCCTCCCTCCCCTCCCTTAAATTATTTCAGGTTTTTGAGTCATGATGCAAGAATCTGGGACTGAGACAAAAAGTAACGGTTCAGCCATTCAGAATGGAGCGAGCGGTGGCAACCATTTACTAGAGTGCAGCCTGCGGGAAGTGAGATCAAACGGCGAGACACCTTCAGTTGAAATTGGGGCTGCAGATTTAGCACATCTTCAGCAACAGCAGGTACTGTAAGACATATTACAAGTTTCCTACTCGCAGAAAAAGCATGAAGCGTTTAATCCCCCCTCCCAAACCCTTTGTATTTGCCAGGCAGAGGATGCTTTCAGGACTTGCCGATGACATTCTGTACATTTTTGTCTGTAGGGGATTACAATTCTTAATGTAAAGGGAAATGCTGGACTTTTCTTCCGGGGCTCCTTTTTAATAATTCCTTGGAAATACCCAAAGATCAGGGCTGGCTTCCATTGCCTGAACGTGTTGTGTCTGGTGGCAGTGATGGGGTGACCCGCTGTATACAAATAACTGGTTTCCAAAAGATGTCGCTGGGTGGAACGTACACTAACATTAAGTTTTGGTTTTGCAACAAATTTTAATATAACCTAGCAACCCCTATCAACACGATGTTTTCTGTTAGTCAGAGGGAGGTATCTGCTGCAGAAAACATCAGGGTAAATAAATAAATACATCCCGTGTCACTGCTCCTCAGTTCAGAAGAATCGGAACCCAATTGTGCCTTTTGCCTCTGTATTTTAATTAGTGCATTTTCTTTGACGTGACCACCTTCACCAGTGTAAATTACCCACATAATAAGTTTTGTCTTTTTCTTCTCCCTGATAAAATTTTGAAACCCTCCGAGGAAATTCTACACCAAAGTGCTGGGCATGTATCATGAGCATGTTTGGGAACAAAGGCTGCAGCAGAGCCATAGTGGATACACTTACGCCTAACCCTCACTTTCTGTAATGCAATAAGCATTCTTAAAACCTTTTAAATAAGCGATTGGCAGCTGGTTAAGACTCCCCTAAGTGTACAGTGATCTTTTTAGCAGGTTGTTGCGGGGAAGGAAAACCTGCACTCATAAACAAAGCAAACCCAAGGCTTGCGGAGGAGCAGGGGATGCCGTTTGCCAACCTAAGGCAGAAAGCTGCCATAATTAAACAAGTCAGAAAAATGGATGATGCTAAATGCACAGACTTTAGTTGTTTCAGTCATTTTCATCCTACAGGTTTTTACTTGAAGTGAGAATACCATCAGTGAGAAAATCACAGCCATGCTGAATTCATTACTGCAGTAGTCACACAAAACCACGGATAAAATTTCAATAACTGCAGGCCACAGTTGAGTAAACAGTTGCACTGAAACTTAATTCCTGTTGACTTTTCCCTCATTCTTTGCCAGGGGCACATTCTGATTCGTAGTGCAGAGACAACAGGGGTTACAGCTTTGATTAATATAGGACAGTAGAAGAGGAGTGGAACACTAAAATATGTTCAGCACAAAGGTCTCATCTTAAAAAGGCTTCGTATCAAAATGAGTTAATTACGCTGTGTTTTCCATAGGAGTGCTATGGAATTTTCCGATGCTGCTTTGTGCAGAGAGAAACTGGGGCGGGGGGGGGGGGGGTGTCACACAAACACGTGCACAGAATAGACCAGAATTGCTCAGACCTCTGCTCCTCCACTCCTACCACCTTGCCTGCGAGCGCCCTGTGCCAAGGCTTCTCCGTAGCCGTCCGGAGAGCTCTTGCCGCCTTAGATAACATCCTAATCTCGCGTGTAATGGGTTGTGTCATTCAACAGCCGCCCATTGGGTCAATTAAGGAGTGGCACCCATTCATTCTTAGGTGAGTCCTCCTCCAAAGGGTGCCCAGAAGAAGCACAAATGCTGCTGGCCCCTCTGGAGCAGGGTGCGGGGCTGGGCGGCAGGATTGTGGCATTGCTTTCACACAGCTCAGATTTTAGCTTCTAGTTTATTTATTCTCTGTCAGTACAATAAACGTGGTCGGGAAGCTTGCTTTTCTCCAAGTTCTTAAAAGACCTTTATGTTCTGTGTTTGAATTCTGCTGTTAATTGGTTTTGATGACTAACTTCTCCACAGAGTTTATCTTTTAAAAAGCAAGTTGGTCGCAAAGTTTGAAGCAGTTATTTAAAACAACAGGAACAAAAAAAAAAGACCTGGTAACAACAAAAGGGTAATCGGAGCTAGCATAAAAATATCAATCTTTGTGTTTGGAAAATATTTTAAATGCTGAAAAGAAGAAAACCCCGTTGTTTTCAGACAGCTAATGCAAGCGTTTACAGATACACATACAACACGGAGCATAATGTTTAGATGTTTCTCCGTATACAACATATGCTCTCAGGTCACTTAACAGAATGCATTCTACAAAACGCTTCTTCAATACAAATGAATGAATGAGTTCTGAATTAAACAGCTATTTCCTAAGAGCATTTCATTCAGATCTTTTCATTTTGCCACCTGGCACTTGTTTTGTCTGAAAAACAAGAAAGCAGTGGTAGGTAGTTTGAGCTTTAGTTGTGTATCCCTGTGATGAGCATGGCTGGGCAGTAAAACCTGGACATACAGTTGCATCTGTAGAGCATCTGTGCTGAATTCTGTTTTGCCTTTTTTGTGACATTTATGAATTTATAAGGCCTAATAGCTTTGTTAGTGTGAGTGAGGAAAACAGGACTGCTTCAGGTTTTTTAGGAAGTTTTAATGGGTTTACAAACTTGTAAATATTTTACCATGGAAAAATATGGAGCACCACAGATGTTCCTGTGTTTGAAGGAACAGTGTACGGTGTGAACACTCTTGCAGTAAGTGCAGGGAGGACTTGCAGAACAAGTTTTGTGTTTCCCATGTCATCTTAGGGTGATTCTGCCATGCAAGGAGACAGAGAGTGATGTGGTGCTAAATTATTTTAGCATTAGCAATCTTGTAAAATGTAGTGTAGTGTTAAGCTGTGAGTAGCAAATGTGGGGATGAGTTCTTCTATACATAAGAAAACCAAATAGCTCCAGCTGATGTTTGTATTTGTAATCGTGATGTATGAAAGCCAAAGCAGTGCAAGTGACTCTTCAGGGACGGTGCATCTGTGGAAGAGTTGGATAAAAATGGAGGTACACATAGGAGGAATCGCTCCCAGAATCAGACTGAAAGGGACGGAAAACCCTTTCCCACAGTGCTTCGGCATCTACTTAAGGTGAGAGAGGTTGCCTTTCCACTGCTGCTGACTCTATAGGTGCTGCTGTTTGGCATCTCGTGGGAATGACTGTCAGGATGTGTTGGAATGGTTAGGATTTTGGTGATGTGCTTGTAAAACCTGGAGTAAGCATGAAGGTTACCTGGGTCACTGGATTTCCCAAAGAGATCAGAAGTGCTCATTTGCCATGGGGTCAGATAGCAGAGTGCAGGAGCTTGATTCCAAGGTACCCACAGAGGCAGAACCAAGGGACAGGGAATGGAGCACCAGGCAGAGTCTGGCATCATCTGTGGCTCTGAAGTGTCATAGAAAACATCTGGGAGGTGCAGAATGGGTGTCAGAGTGACCCACAAGCTGAAAGTCAGGCTGGGCGAGGGAAGCTTGGACAGAAAGTACGTAATGATGGGGTGACTCCTGTCTACCAAGGAGTAATAAATAAAGACTCATGGGGACAAACTGCCTATTAATGTACATGATCACAGCTTTAGTTGCTTCAGTGGTTTCTGATCTCTACTCAAATAGAAGGTTTGATGCTTCAGTCCTAGCCAGTTCCCTTCTCTTCTTTTTTTTTTTTTCCCCAGCTCATAAAATAAATATTATTTATTGTGTTTTATTTTTATCCTCAGGACTGTTCATTAAAGTGTCTTCACATTATTAGCAGAGAAACAAGAATGTGAATGAACAAAGAGAATGAACACAAAGTTGAATTCCGATATAGAGCAGCAAGACACCAAACGCTGTGTTGCATGGTGGCAGAAACATAAACCTCTCCACATCAATAGCAAGCTCCACTTTGATACCGTAACTTCAAGTACTGCCCCACGAGTATAAAACTCTGAATCTTTTGTCTAATCCCGAATGCTTTTGAACTTTTAGGAGGTATGACTTTAATAGTAATTTGTGGACAGATTAGCTGCAGGGATTGCAAAGAGTTTATTTTGCAGAACTGGCAGGCTCGTATCAGTGTTCTCTTAAGAAAAAAACCCACATAGCTGTTTTGCAATTGCTTGCATTTATTGACAACCTGTGCTGAGCAGGCAGAATCGGAATGTTTGTATAATGTAAACCTATAGCTTGTCTGATGGACTGTAGTGTACTTTTAGGTAGTGCCTAGATTGCTTGATAAAAAGGGTTACAAGGTGACTGTTTATGACGAACTGGAACAGCAATACAAACGCAACTGGTACATGGAGAAACAAGGAGGAAGTTTATATAAAGAATTGTAGGGCAGTTTATTTTCTTCCCTTTGCCTGTGAGCTGAACTATACTGTAATTATGAAGTGTCACTTCAAGCTTTCTGGAGAACGTAGATAAACACCGGTTTTGCCGTGTGTCCACAGAGTGAGCAGGGGTTTTCCCTTGGAAAAAAAAAAAAGATGGCATAATATATATTTCATTACGTCCTGGTTTGTACTTTTTACACATTGGTTCCACAGAATGCATACAAATGAATAATGCAGTTCTGTTCATGGGTAGAAAAAAAAAAAGAATGTCTAGATAGACCTGAGAAGTTAGGATTAGGTTTTGGAGTCTGTGCCCAAGTCAGTGATTTCTTCATAGTCGGCCTCACTGACTGCAGTTGGGGTGTTTGTGGTATCCATGTGAAGATGCCACAGTGGGGCCCTTTGGCAGTAGTTGTTGTGAGAATTGTTGAGATGTGAAGTGTTAGACTGAGGGAAGTGAACTCCAGAGGGAATAGGTGGTTTCTTCACACTTGGTTATGTCCAAAGATGAGGAAAATGTACAAGAAATGGGGGATTTGTTGTGTCATTGGGAGGCAGCTTTAGTTGGGCAAATCAAAAAGGAGGTTTGACTTGAAAGAATTCGGAATGTATCCCAGTGTAAATTAAAGTAATGCTTTTGTTTCAGGCTTTTTTGTTAATAGTTTTGTGGGTTTCATCTTATTTTGAAAACCCATGAGGAGAGGTTGCAAACTGCATCAGGAGTTTTATGGTCCCATTGATCATGATGTGGACTTATCTCTTTAGAACAAAACTGCTAAATTAGAGCCAAGATA